AACTATAACTATAACTATAACTATAACTATAACTATAACTATAACTAAACTATAACTAAACTAAACAAAAACAAAAACAAATACAAAAACTATATACATATACATATACATATACATATACATATATACGTATGGTATTCAGCTTTGTTCGGGTATTTTCCCACGTCATTATAGTTGTGCTTTTAAAGTTGTAGCAACGTTTCGGCAGAATCTCACCTGCCATCATCAGGCTTCTGTACAGTGTCCGTCTGTGAGTCAGGCAACTTTAAAAGCACCACTATAATGACGTGGGAAAATACCCAAACAAAGCTGAATACCATACATATAAATACCCGCGAGAACTTAAGAAAACAATGTTTCCATTGTCCAATATTATCTTTGCTCTAAAGTGCTTTTTAAATTTTTCTTTTCTTTTCTTTTTTTAACCAAGCTGGGCATTTAAAATGATTGCTACCCTAAGAAATGGCTGCCAGTGCTGGAAAACGCAGCTCCCTCTTTCCACCTCTCGCCAAGCGCATCCCTAATGGAACCGGATGTTTAGCCCCCAACAAAAGCGACAATTTTACAGAAAAACCAGATTATGCCTCCAGGTTGCTCATTTTATTCAATTGTGCACCAGTAAAAGATTGTCTTTTCAAAGCAGCCTTGTTACCAAAAACAAAACAACAAAACCATGCAATTCTCCCTTTATGAAGCTAAACCAGTAGAGGAGAAAGAAAAGAAACGGTGTTTTTTTTTCCATGCTTACATTTCTTCTTTTTAATGAGATTTTTCAGGGAAAAGGAACCAAGGGTGCTTTATCTGAAAGAATGAAGAAGAAGAAGGGGAAAAAAGCAAGTGGTAATGTTAAGAAACCATCTCATGCTGGCTGAATAGAATAGAATACTTTATTGGTCAAGTGTGATTGGACACAGTGTTTATGTTTTTCTACTGTAGATATGGGGGTGTGAGGAACAATCGGAGATTAACCGTGCTGTGTGTGACACATGCCGATGCTTAAACAGCTGCACACAAGCACACACACACACACCCTGGCATGATCACAGGTGCTTGTAGAAGCTAAACTGGAGGAGGCACCGGTTCTCCAAAACCTCTAATTAACTGGGATCAACAGATACAGGCTTTTCTGTATCTCTCTAAAGCTAGTAACCTCGTCCCTCGGGAAACATGGGGGAAGGTCTCCATTCTTGTTGAATTTTACAGACCTGAGAGTTTCTGCCTTGGGATCGGTTAGTTGGTTTTCCAACTCTGTTTCTACAGTTCTATACAGGGGTGGGACTCAATTTTTTTTTACTACTGGTTCTGTTGGCGTGGCTTGGTGGGTGTGGTGTGGCCTGGTGGGCGTGGCTGGGTTGGCGTGGCTGGGTGGGCGTGGTGTGCATGGTGGGCGTGGCTTGGTGGGCATGGCAGGAAAAGGATACTGCAAAATCCCCATTCCCACCCCACCCCACTAACCTGCTTTCCAGCTCCGTTCTCCTGTGCAGGGCAACCAAAGAAGACCCAGCCAATCAGCTGTAGGCGTGGCTTGATGGGCATGGTGTTCTGTGGGCGTGGCTTGGTGGCCACGGCCTGGTGGGCGTGGCAGGGGAAGTTTACTACAAAATCCCCATTCCCTCCCCACCCTACTAACCTGCTTTCCAGCTCCGTTCTCCTGTGCTGGGCAACCAAAGGAGACCCAGCCGATCAGCTGGGACTCGGGAGATGGGGGCGGGACCAGTCAGAGGTGCTATTTGCTGGTTCTCCGAACTACTCAAAATTTCCACTACTGGTTCTTCAGAACTGGTCAGAACCGGCTGAATACCCACCTCTGGTTCTATACCTATAGAAGTCAGTGTCAACTGAACCAATCGTGTCCTTTCCTGTTCAAATGGACATCATTCTCTCTAGAAAGGGGGCAGTGTGCTCTTAAATCACTTTATTTCTTAGATACTGAATATCTTAATTGCCATAAAACAGGGGTCCCCAACCACCGGTCCATAGACTGGCCATGGTCCATGGCATGGCAAAAACCGGGTGGGGGCGAAAAAGCGATGCTCCATCTATGGGATGCAGGCAACACATGAAATCACGCCGTGGGAGAAACCTCCCTGCACAGAACCGGTGCCCAAAAGGTTGGGAGCTGCCGTCCTCCCAAAAAATAAAAACAAAATCATAAAATTGAGCATGACTCACTGAACCACCCTGCTTAGCAACGGGAATTCTGGTTCTAATTGTGGTCGTAAGTCAAGGACTATCCGTGCTATTCCTAAAAAGTTCTAGTTTTGCAGTCCTGGACTGATAATAAATAACTTGATTGGAAGCATGCACTAAAGTGAAACATCCAGCCATCGCTGTTTCCCCCGAGGTGCTGCCACATAAGATGGTGCATGTCATCCCAAATATTGTTTTCCATGTTTTCTGAAGGCAGACATTAACAGTCCAAAATAATTCTTCAGGGACAAGAGATGTGGCACAGATTTTCTCTGCATGTTACAAATGTTCAATAACTTTGGTGTTTTTATAATTTTTTTAAATAATTTTTTTTAATAATTTTTTTAAATAATTTTTTGGTGCTCATCCCACAACACCTGATCTTTGGGAAAAACTTCTTATGATAGCTGGGACATCTTTCATCCAACTAACAAGAATCTCAGTCAATGGAAAACTAAAAGGACTCTAAGAAGCCATAAACAGATTTTTGACGCGCCTGTGTTTATGAAGGTGAATAGTTAAATACTTGAATTCACACACACACACACACACATACACACACAACCCTGTTGTATTCCATCGTGTGTACATTTTCGGCCTTTTCCAATGTATGTAGACCAACTCACCCTTGAAAACTTTGACTAACTCTCAAGAACTTCGTGGAGTCCGTAAAAATCACCGATGACTTAAGTGCCTTAAATGGAAGAAAATGCCTAAGAGGGCTAAAGATTGATTATTATTTTTTTAAGAAAAAAAGCTAAGCAAAAGAAAATGTGTACCGATAACGAACGGTCTTGTTCTTATTCTCTGTTCAGGAAAATTCCTTTTGTTTTTAAATCTCTCTTAGACATTGCTCAGAATGTAAATAAGGTAAGACTCAAGAGTTTTCACGTTGTTTCACATGCTAGTGTTAAGAAAGGGATTATTTTTTTTCCAGCGTTAATCCTCCTTCCAAGGAAGTTGCAATGGTCAGCTTATACACCGTACAAATATTCTAAGGATGGCTATTGCATTGACTCAGTGTCCCAACTGTCCATTCCAGAGGTTTTCTATGCCAAGATGGGGGGAGGGGGAAACAAGCAAACGAGAAAGTGATCCCCATCCTTCTAAGTATGAATAGTTCTTCCAATGAAACCTCCCAAAAATTAGCCTATGCACCATACAAATATTCTAAATATGGCTAACTTCCTTTACGTAGTGTCCAAACATCCAAGTAATAAGATTTCATGCCACGATGAAGGTAACCCAACCGAAGTTGGAAAGGGAGCGAGCAACAGCTTAGAATCCATCCACATCTCCTCCATCAGAGTCTATGCAATATATAAATAAATATTCGGATTTCTACATCTTCTGAAGGGTTTGGTTAGGGTGATAAGAGTGAGGCTTAATTGAAAGTTGCGCTGTATGCTTTTCACCCAAGTCTTACACAAAGAATACACACATCTCTCAGGTCCTGTAGATCTTTTGAACCAAGACTGTTGATTAAGCCTTTGCAAGAGATGAAGCTGTGAAGCTTTCTGCCTCTCCTTTGTTCTCCTGGAGGTGTCGAAGACACCTGTAAACGATTGTAGCCTGATTATCTTCTGATGCTCGGAGAGGAACAAAATCCAATGGCTGCTATTTTGCAGCGATTATCCCCGGCTCTTCCATGTCATCGATGGAACAGCTTCAAAAAGAACCACACTTCCATGGACCATCCACCATGGGTCTGTCACGGAGAGATCTTTATAGGCTTCCCATTTTTATCATATTGGTAGACAAGCATTTTGATGCAGTGGGAGTTGGCCGGGGATATCCATGGGCTGCTCGTTATCGAAAAGTTATGGTTTGTATAGAACTGGACGGGTTGCTTCTGACAACGGAAGAACGCCTTCAGCGTTACAGCCGCCATTGTGCGGAACCGCTTGCTGATGAAACAGTACAGGAAGAAGTTGATGGCGGTGTTGAGCAACGCGAGCATGTTGGCCACGTCGGAGACAATGTGGACCGACCAGCTGTTGTTGATGGGAGACACATAAAGGTGGTAAAGGATCATGATAATCCTCGGGGCCCAGAGGATGGCGAAAATGGACGTTATGGTAAACAAGATGGCGGTGGTCTTCCCAGTGGAATAGCCTCGCAGACGGAAGTTGCACTTCTGTCGAAGCTTGTAGACAATAATGGAGTTCAAGATGAAGAAGATGGAGCAGGGGATCAGGTAGATGGTGAAGCAGTGGATCCAGATGAGGATGTGATGAACAAGCGTGCTTGTGTAGTCTTCCTTCCAGATGTTCGGCCACCAGTAGTACGGGATGCTGGTTAGAAAGCAAATAATATAAACGCTCCCAATCACTTTGCGGGTGCGAGCAGGATAGGAGACCATGTGGTATTTGAGGGGATGACAGACGGCGATGTACCGGTCGATCGTGAGAGGGACGGTAATCCAGATGGAAGTGTGGATGGAGGAGAACTCTAACACCTCAATAATTTTGTCCAGGACTTCAGGCATCTTCTTCTTCAAGATGAAATCTTCCAACAAGAAGTCAACAAAGACGATGAAGAAAAGGACGAGCAAGTCAGCCACCGCAAGAGCTAAAAGGTAGTTGTAGGAGGACTTTTGACGCCGAGCCACCAGCTGCGACAGAATGATTACCGTCAAAATGTTAGCTGTAATGGGAGAGAGAGGGGGGGAAAAATTACATTAACTTGAGAAGATTAGCAATTACTATTAGGTCCCAAGAATCCAATGTGACACATGGAGTTACTTAAGAATATTCTAAAAGAGAACTTGAATACATTAGATGCATCTATTTGGGTTTCTGAGAATAGTAATAAAGAAGTAATCAACAGCAGCTGAAAAAGAGGATTAATGTTGGAAAAATAACTCAAGAATTAAGCTGCAAACAACACCTCAATCAGGGAACTACCAATTCAGACAAACCGTAAATAACAGAAATCCTCAAGTACATTCTCACCAACCCTGACAAGTCAAGCTACTTGTTTATAAACAGAGAGCAAACCCCACTCCCTTCTAGCCCTGATGATGTTACCGAGTTGGGTCATAAAATGTCTGCAAGGAAACAACCAAATTCAGAGAGCACCCAGGACCCCAGAGTTTAAGATGTGTGGATTTTAACTCCCGGCTTGCTGGCTGAGGAATTCTGGGAGTCCCAAGACTCAGCAGCCCATCTGCATTTGAAAGACAAAGGCCACTCTTTTGGAGACCAACAAAGTCCACATTCTGAATAAAGAGGTCCTCTGCTTGAAAGAGAGGTAAAATGTTAAAATTAAACAGCCCTCTCCCGACAAAGGGGAAGGCGTACAGCACAGTCCTTTCAGCAGTTCCAAGGAGGCCCCCCACACCCTTTTGTGCTCTGATTCAGGTGATCCTAAGGGCACAGATAAATCCCCAAGTGGCCTCAATGGCCGACCTTCAACGTGGTAACCACCAGATGACTGCAAGGAATATAAATCCTTCCCTTCCCCACCATTTACTGAGAACTGAAGATGCTTCTTGGGTGAGAAATGAAATGTCTTCAAGAGGAAAAAAAAACCACAGAAAGTCCAGTTGCCTCTTGAAAAAAGCACCTTTGGGACAACCATGACCTGGATGACTATGGAGGATCTCCATAGACCTCTCCTTTGAAAATGTTTTGCTTCTCATCCAAGTAGCTTCTTCAACTCTGAAGAAGAAGAACGGAAGAAGCTTCTTGGATGAGAAGCGAAAGTCCAGTTGCCTCTTGAAAAAAGTGCCTTGGGAACAACCAGGACCTGGATGAGTCCACAGACATTCAGTCTTTGGCTAAGGTTGAGTAACCATAGTCTAGACAACTGATGATGAGGAGATGCCTCTTAAGTGCAGGACAATCTTCTTCAGAATATGGGTCAACACTGATTCTCTTTAACTGGACTCTGATTTAATTCCACTCTGGCTGCAAGACATTCTGGCTGGACGTCATACAAACATTTCCCAACAGTTGCTACACCACCAACCTATTTAATTAATTCACCAAGTACAGAGGTTTGGTTTACTGAGAGAGGATGAGTTGCCAAGTATTGAAATTTCATACACATTCAGTAATTACTCTTTTTTTTGTGTGGAGCTAATGCAGCACATTTAACGTTTAACTTCTGAGTGTGCCGGTTTCTTTCCCAAGGCCAATCAAGAACAACGACATGAATTCCTCTAGCTGACAACCGAGGAGAAAGGTGGGACCGAAAGACAGGATGAAAACGATTCTCTTGGGTGGATGCTGCACCTCCGAATACAAGCGCATATTATTTGCCACTTAACCGCCAAGTATTTATGAACAATCTCTTAGTGCATCTTAATGAAACTTGATTTTCCGGGGGGGGGGGGGTGGGAGAAATGAACTGGGAGAGCGGGGGGTGGGGGGGGGGGGGAGGGGAAGATGCTGCTGGCATTTTGCCTTTAAAAAAAAAAAAGAATTGCATCTTCAAGCTCTCAAGTTAATTCCTGCTTTGCTAAGTGCTGAAGAAGATACTGAAAAGGACTGCTACTCAGCCACCTGCGTTTGGAGATCAGGGGGTGGCTTCATTCCCAATGCGTTCCCCTTGCTCAAAGTTCACTATGGAGGGGGATAAGGTCCCCGAGAAGATTGCATGGTTGCCAAGATTATGATTCATAATTAGATGAGGAGGGCTCCTTTGAGTCAAGTGGAGGTCCTTGAGACTACGTGAAGTGATCCATAAAGTTATCTGAAAAATAACATGGAGGTGTTTTATCATTGTCTTCTGCCTGGGAAGTTGCTTTCAGTGGATCCTCTGAGTCAAGCTTAAGTCCTTGAGGCTACATGATCCATAAAGTTCTCGCAATAATAATATGGAGTTGATTTACATTGTCCTCTGCCGGGAAGTAGATTGGAGTCTAGCTTTCAATGACTCCCTTGACTCAAGCTTAGGTCCTTCAGACCAGTGTTTGCCAACTGGTGGGCCAGGGACCACTGGTGGGCCGCAAGAAAATTGTAGTGGTCCGCAGAGCAATGTCTCCCCCCACCAAAGCAATTAATCCAGGCTGCACGGGAACACAAGGCTGTGCCGCCCACATGGCCTGCCCACCCGCTGGCCCCTAGCCTTCAGCCGAGCTCAAACCTTACCTTGAGTAGAGCCACGGGATCTGGAACTGGAAGGTAAGACCAACGGCGGGGGAGGGAAATCCGCTCTGGGGTGGCTTGGTGGGAAAGTCAGTCCCCTATTCCAGAGCTTCAGGAGTCAGAGGACTGGCCCTTTGGTCATCCTGGAGCAGCTCCTCTAGTCCATGGCAGGCCGGTGCACCTGGGTGGAGGAGCAGCTGCTCCAGGATGACCAAAGGGCCAGTCCTGTGACTACTACAGCTCTGGAATAGGGGACTGCCTTTCCCACCAACATCAGCAAGCCACCGTCAGTCAAAATTCATATTAGTGGTCCGCGGGATTTAAAATTATGAGTTTGGTGGTCCCTGAGGTCCAAAAGGTTGGCGACCCCTGCTTCAGTCTACAAGCTCCATAAAGTTCTCTCAACAATAGTATGGAAGTGACTTATCCTTGTCTTCCAATGGGAAGTAGGTTGGACCTCAATCAAGTTTAAGTTCTTGAGCTACATGAACAGACCCATAACATTTTCTCAATAATAATATGGAAGTGGCTTATCAGTGTCTTCTTCTGGGAAATAGGTTGGACTTCCAAATCTAGCTTTCAACTCTTGAGGTTTATACATGTCTTTCATCCAGCTGCTAAAGAGGTCTGACCCTGTTTTAACTTGTTTTTGACAGTTCCTACCATCATATTAGCATACTTGTTACAAGAACAATTCATTGTACCCAGATCCAAATCCATCTATGGGTTGTTTCTGTCCAAAGTTCAGATTCTGTACAAGCTCATTTTGAGATAAATGAGCCCTTTAACCTATCAATAACATTTATCATTACTCCAAAGGTCATTGCTTTTCTTTTTCAAATCTGATTTTTAAACATTAGGTCGTTCCAAAATTCTGGAGACTCCAAAGCAGTATTTCTCAATCTTGGCAACTTTTAAGATGAAGTCCACGTATCTTAAGAGTTGCTAAAGTTGAGAAACAATACTCCAGAGCTTGCAGAAATGTGGATAATCACTAGGGGCCAGCAAAGGAGAGGCAGAACGTTCTCAGGATTCAATACCTTCTAATGGTTGTCTAATGGGGTTTGCAGGCCAAATGCAGTAGCCTTACTCAAGGCAAACGTTCAAAGCAGGCAAGCCAACTATTGTCCCATCTAGGTCTGATGGGAATTGAAGCTCAGCAAGATGTGGAGAACTGCACGTTTTCTGTTCCTGGTGCAGATAACCCTGGGCTAGCTGCACAAAGAGCTTGTCCCGCTGCCAAGGAGCTTCCTAGCTATTAATGTAGCGAGATCCATAGGCAGACACAGCTCTCTGCCTTGTTCTCTGAAGAAGTTATTGATTTTTTTTCAGGATCCTCGGTGAAGCTGAAGCTCCGGCCAAACAAGGCAAGACCCAAATTTCCATCCCCCACCCCCCCCGAGTTTCTAAGGAGAGTTGACCCCCTTTGCTTGGAAAGCAAAGATTGACGTGACTTTCTGGAAGGACTGCAGATTTGAATGGTGGGGCTGGCAGTTCTGTTCTTTAGCTGGTTGTCACGTAGGCCTGAGGAGGATACAGGTGGGTAATAGTGAGATGGGAATAGACAGGGGGGGGGGCTCGAGGTGGAGATACTGCTACCCAAGGGTGGGCTGCTAGGGGTTCGCAGGGGTTCGGGAGAGCCCCTAGCAAAGATTCTGCGCAGGTTAGGGAACCCCTAAATCCCACTCCTGGATGGTCCCACCCAGGGGTGGGATTCTACCATTTTGCACCTATTTGCCAGAACCGGTTGTTAACATTTTAAGCAGTTTGGAGAACCGGTTGTTAGAAGAAATTACAGGCCTAATCCTGTAAGGAAGGCAGGAAGGAAACATTCTGGTGTTGCTTACAGAAACTGCCTCTCCGTTAACCCTTATTACATTCTTGGCAGGACTAGACTTCCTGTCTCAGGAACTTCTCTGGAGTTTTTTTCCCCCTCCTTTGCTGGTACTTTGCTTGTGTGGAGTGACCATTCAAAGTTACAATGGCACTGAAAAAAGTGACTTATGACCGTTTTTCACACTTACGACTGTTGCAGCATCCCCACGGTCATGAGAGGCCAGGCGAGGAGATGCGTGCCTCGATGTGAGTGATGTTGAGTTGGCCACACCCAGCCAATAACATGACCACCAAGCCACGCCCACCACCTAAGCCACACCCACAGAACCAGTTGTTAAAATTTTTGAATCCCACCCCTGTCCCCGCCCACCCCTCCCCTCCCAGGAGTCCCCCCTCCCGCCGTGGTGCAGGAGGCCGACTTGGCCACACCCACCATGGGGAGCAACTGGGCAGAGAATCCTTTGCTAAAAAATTTTGAAGCCCATCCCCGCTGTTATAAGGGCTGACTGGGTGGGGAGGGGCGGGGTCAGCCAGGGGCACGGTTTGCCAGTTCTCCAAACTGCGTAGAATCATAACAACCAGTTCTATAGAACCGGTCTGAACCGGTAGAATCCCAACCCCTGGTCCTAAGCTACTTTTATTTTGCAGTGCCATTGTAACTTCAGACGGTCACTAAACGAACTGCTGTAAGTTGAGGACTGCCTATATTGCCTGGATGTGCTTCACAGATGGAAGTCTTGCCCACCTTGGCTCAACGTCAAACCTCCCCACTTTCCTGCCCTTGATCCCCCTTTCATTTAGAGACCACTCAAAGTTACGTCAAACTCAACAGCCACACAACATGCTTTTTCCTGGCAGGATTGCAGAAATAGATTTCCACTCTCGACTTCTAGGATTTGTGTTTTTACCACCCAGCCTTGGCAGCCACTTAAGATTCCCCAATGACACACACACACCACCACACCCCCACCCCGGCCAGGCCTTACCAGCTTAGCTTTTCCAGTTTTCTGCCACTTGCG